GGTTCTCAATGCCTACCATCCCCTTCCCTTCCTCCGCGTCCCTCGATAGGTCTCAGTGCGCGTTGAGATATAGGTATATATCCTGCATCGTCACTCATCCGCACCATTAATGACGACTCAGGTCTTGGCTTGTGACCGATCCGCGACCGTCCTCGTCGTGCGTGTATGGTAATATATCCTCTACCACATGTGTAGTACAGTAGGAGGAATACATGGCACTCATAATACTGCCCACAATCAGTTTCTGGCGCCAGAACTGATTCTGGCAATAGACGTGTTATTATGCTGCCAGATGCACTTCTGGCAGTATGGTGCGCTTGGTTGGTCTGCTGCCAGACCAGCCAGACGTATTCTGTTTTCCTGATGTTTTCCGAAATAGATTTCCGTACTTCTCAAATTCAGTTGCAGCGCGCTGAATTCTTGGTTGGATTTCAGGGACCATTTCAGAGTAACATCCACTTGGACAGTTTAGGATAGGCGGTACCTTTTTTTTGCAATGAACGAGCATGGCTGCCCGGGAATCCGAGCGTTCTGGCCTTGGATGCCTGGGTGGTTCGAATGACGACTTTGCGCCGGAGGCCTGATCTTGGGCAGGATGTATAAGCCAAGCACGATCAACTGCAAAGCGGCGTTGCTGCCTCGCGGGCACCACGACGCGTCTGACGTCACCTCTCGCGATGAGAAAGGAAATATACACTCAAAAGTTGGCGCGATGGCGCAAATGATTGTCGCGTGCCGTAAGATCGAAGGATGATGACGTCGTGTGGGGTAGATAACGACCACGATAATCTCGCTGCGCCGTTCGCGGGATCGATTCGCGGCGACGAGCAGGCGCATATCGTCTCGAATGTACGTATCGAGCGATGGACGACGTCGACTCGCTCCACTCGACTCCAACGTCAAGCGTCCTGAACGCGGCGATCAGTGGCAGGCTCCTGTCACTCGAATGTGATCCCGCTCGCACGCACGGCACGTTGCAGCGAACCCAATCGCATATAGAGCTGGTCCACGCCAGCGTTATCCCCAGCGATGCCCACGTCCACCTCCTCCCAGCGCGTCCTCCTCGTCCTCGACGCCCAAGCCGGCGTCCTCTCCGACCCGCCCCGCGGCGTCCCCGCCGCCCCCGCCCTCCGCCCCACCCTCGCCCGCATCCTCGCCACCGCCCGCGCAGCCCGTCCCCCGCCGCTCATCGTGCACGTCCGCAACACGGGCGACAGCGGCGATATCGACGAGCCCGGCACGCCTGGGTGGCAGCTGCTTTTCGAGCCCCGGGTGCGCGCTGCTGCTGGCGGAGGTGCGGAAGAGCAAGAAGGAGAGCAGCCGGACGAGATCGTGCTCGACAAGCGCAAGAACAACGCCTTTGCGGGGACGAGGCTGGGCGAGCTCGTCCCCCCTGACGCCGAGATCGTGATCGTCGGGCTGCAGTCGGATTTTTCGGTCAGAGCGAGTGAGTGGTGTCTTCTTCCTTCTTTTGGCGCGTCGCGCGCTCGCTGACCCTGCGCCCGCAAGCCTGCTCCGCCGCCCTCGGCCGCGGCAACTCCGTCCTCCTCATCCGCGGCGCGCACGCGACGTACGATCGGCTTGAGGTGCGTTCCGTTCAGCGTTTCTTCCTCTTGCGTTCCTCCATCCCCTCCCTCACTCCATTTACCTTTTACAATCCATCTATCTATCTTCCCTTTGCGGTTCCCGCGATCGATCCGATCTCCTCCTCCTCTTTCCGCCTTCCTTCCTTCCTTCCTTTCTTTCTTTTTGCCCACCGGGTCTGCGCTGCATATTCTCTTCGTCCGCTGTCTTCTCATTTCCTTCCTCTGCTGTCTTCTCATTTCCTTCCTCTGATGTCTCCTGATTCTCCTCTTCCCCTTCTCCCCTTCTTCTTCCCCCTCTTCTCCCCTCTCCCCTCTCCCCTCTCCCCTCTTGTCTCATCCACTAAACGCGAGAGAAAACTCACCCCCACCCCCCATGTAGGTCCTCTACGGCGGCGGCACCACCCCCGCCGCCCAGATCTCGCGCGAGATCGAGGGCGAGCTCGAGGAGGCGGGCGTCCATCTGTTGGAGGTCGGCGAGGTGGGCGCGATTTGGGAGGGAAGGTAGCTTACGCCGTGCTTCTCTATTTTTCGGGCTTCTCTTTCGCTTTTTTTTGTTTTGTTTTTCGCAATCGCAATCGCAATCGCAATCGCACTCGTTGTTATGGGATCGGGCTCGGGTTCGCGGACAGGATGGGGTTCGGGTTCGGATTTGCGGAGAAAACGCGAGAAGGAGAAGGGGGGGGGGTGAGAGTTGAACAAATCCGCACTGCTTTTATGCGTGCGTGCGTGCGTGTGGCCGTGGGCTGGGTTGGATTGGTTGCGGTCGGCTTTCGGTTCCTTTTCGTGTCGTCTTGCTTGTACGATTGTAAATGGTAAATGATAAATGGTAAATGTAATCCACGTAATCCCTGATGCGGTGAGGAGCCTGAGGTACCCACCCCGCTCCGACTCGCGATCGCTGAAGGAAAGGCATAGATGAGATGAGATGAGCCCGATTGAGTGCACGTGCCGCGCCACGGATGGGGCGCAAGCGGAAGGCGGAAGGGAAGTTCAGGTTGGATTTGGGATGGACTCGGAGTAGGCTAATAAGAATAAAATAAGCATAAGTATTGCTGGGCATCGAGCGATGGGATGGGATGGATGAAATGGAAGAAAGAAATGTGGCGCGGAGAATATGCATACGTAGCGCGATGATATGTGGTATATTGCGGATGTCATGGATGGATGGATGTAGATGTACGAGTGGTAGATATTGGTGTTAAAAGACTACGATGTAAAAATTTAAAGACTGCGATGGATTTGGATGTGAGGGGAGGAGACCACTGTGCGAGCGAGAAGGAGGACGAGGTGCGAGGGGGGATGAAAGTTGGCGTTTGGCTTTCGGTTCCTTTTCGTGTCGTCTTGCTTACTTGTAAATGATAAATGGTAAATGGTAAATGGTAAATGGTAAATGGTAATCCACGTAATCCCTGATGCGGTGGGGAGGGGAGGAGGTACCCCCGCTCGCGATCGCGATTGAAGGGAAGGAACGGTATAGCTGAGGTGATCCTCAGGCGCCACGGAAAGGAAGCGGAAGCGGACGTGGACGCGGATGGGGAGGCGGAAGGGAAGTTCGAATTCGAGTTCAAGTACGCGTTGTTGAAGGACGAAGGATGAAGGACGAATTCGAAGGAACGGCGATGAGCGCGTCGAGCTGCTGGTGAGTAGCATCGCGGAAGCGGATGGGGAAGCGGAAGGGAAGGAAGGGAAGGGAAGTTCGAGTTCGAGTTCGAGTTCAGGTTGATTCTGAGTTGGAGTTAGGAATGGAGGTGTAGTCGTAGTTCAAGTTGAATTTGGATTCGACTTGTAGTTCGAGCCAAGTTGGAATTTGGAGTTGGAGTAAGCAAGTGAGCGTTGCTCAATCGCCGCCAACGATGGGATGAGATAAGGATGATAATACAATGCGGATGGAGGATGGCAACGTACGAGTAGGAAATATTGCTGGATATAAAAGAACGATGTTGGATTCGGATTTGTTTCGGAGTTGGATGCTGTATGCACACGACAGCCTGCGCGCCTTGCCTCAGCGGAGTCGATGATCTGAGGGAGACGTCGACGAATCCGGGTGGTTCGATTCAAGTTGAAGGCGTATGTATTGGGGAATATTGGCCCTAGATACAATCCGAGTCGGCGCATTTGGAGTCCGAGTCCGAGTCCAGTTGCATTGCGTTCCCGGAGCAGACACCAGGAGCCCGAGAGGCGAGGCACGGGGTGAGTAAAGTATTAGTGGATAAGGGAGGGAATTTGCAGTTGGGCCGGAGTCGACGGCGGAGTAGATCAAATCCACTCACTCGCGATCGCTCTTGTTCTTCAAGTTGGTCTTCAACCGGGTGGGTCCCAAGGAAAGTCCCAGTCAGCAAATCGGTACGTTCGGTGTGCATCGTTCGCGGGCCGGGAGTGAGGGAACGAGGCTGGCAAGACAGTATGTATCCAAATAACGAAACCAACCAGGAAACTCGACGACACCCGCTCGGCTTTTTCTTTGGTTGTAATTTGACCGAATTATCAAAAGCACCAGCGCTTGGACAACGTCGACTGAGAGAGTTGAGAGAGAGTTGAGATACCCTCCTGTCGGCTGTCCGACGACAAATGGCGAGGGGCGCAAGGTAAGTAACTTTCGCCTGGCCTGAGCGGTGAGAATTTCCTTAGGCCAAAGCGCCAAAATTACAAGTCCCTGAAGACAGCCTGAAGACGCGCCAAAACCAAACCAGAGGTTGTATTCTAACCTGGCCTGTAATTTTGAGAACCTGAGGCGAACGCCAGACGAAGCCAGAACATCGCTCCTCGGCGCCACTTCCGCCGCCCGGTCATTCGAATCCAGCCCCAGAGACAATTTTCCAGGATGTCGCCGCTCGCGACGAGTCAGCGTCTCTGTGTGATCAAGTCGGAGTCGAGGAGCCTGAGGTAAAGTTGCGGCGCAAAGTGATTTTGGCTTGGCCTGAGCGGTGAGAATTTTCTTAGGCCAAAGCCAAAAATGACACGTAAAAAGCTTTCGAGCTAAGGCAGAGATTGGCTTCTAACGTTGCCTGTGATTTTGAGGCGAAAGCCAGACGAAGCCAGAATTTCGCTCGTTGGCCCCGGCGCCACTTCCAGGTCGTTCAAATCCAGCCCCAGAGACGATTTTCCAGGATGTCGCGACGAGTCGGCAGCTTTGCGCGAGTCAAGGTCGGAGCCCGAGCTTCAACGTGGCGAATGGGCAAAAGATCTGAAAGCACGTGATCAAACGCGTTAGAGCACGACAACCAAGCAGGAACACACACACTCCTCGGATGTCCCAGCTCCGGACGGTAAAATGAACCAAGGGAGTTCAGTGGCCATGCATACTGTATCCGACCATATCTTCTGCTGAGAGGCGGAAAATATACGGAGCCGGTTCATTGCCGTCGCTCTGACTCGAGTCTCCGTTGACTCACAGCAAAGCAAAACAATAATGAATAGCAACAGCTTGTCTCGATCAAGCGACCTCCGGATTCCTCATGTACATATATGTATGAGACCGGCGCACTACCAACTGTGCTACGTTGCTGGTGGAGATTTGTGGATCGGATGATTAAAGATGTGTATTTTCTTACATATTACCCCCATAATACCACGTAGCCCAGAGCGTGTTTGCCTTCCAACCAGCTGTACGACACATCGTCGGACTCACCAGCGGTTCATTCCCCCAAAATCAAATGGCCTGCAGTTTATTACTACGTGAGACTGCAGGTCGTCTCGCGTCTCGCGTCTCCGGATTGGTTATGTTCCGCTCTTGTAGGACCTCCCGCGACTGGAGGCATGACCCCGTGTGCCCAGCTTTCAGCGAAGCACCCCTCGTATTCCGGCCCGCCGCACATCCCACCTCATTTACCTAGAGGCACCCCAACGTCCGGCTCTCCACCATTGTTTCACGCCGCGGAAAAGTGCCTGGTTGATTGCTACTTGGATTCTATGCGTTGTCGACAGTGCTCTCTCCTACACCTGCGTTGTTTGTGGTGCACACGCCCGCATCTTTCTTATATGGGCGCACTGTGGCCATCAGGCAAATCAGGCAAGATGAGATAGATGAATTGAGCTCCAGGAACACAGAAAAATATTCACGGTTTACACGTCAAGTGTTGTTCAATAAAAGGACACAGCCCGGTACACTGCTAAGGAAGGACCGGCACTGGGTAGCACCTCCCTGTGATCCAGCCTCGAAAAGCAAGAAGTCAATGATGAAGCCGATTTTCGGGCCGGTCGGCAGGTATCTCCGACTGCCGCGGGGTTTCATTGGCCAGAGGGTCAACAATCCCAACAGAAAAAATTATGATTGTGGGGCCCACTACAAGTCTATGATTGCCTTTACCGTTTGATTCCGGATATTCCAGTGGAGGTGGGCACTGGGCTTATGATAATTCCAAACCCCGCTGACGGCTTGATTGCCGGGGCCGGATACACCATCGTCAGAATTATCGCCAGTATTGGAGAAGAAGTAAGGTAGGGTAGTTTTTATTTTACTCCATAGGCATGTGAATTATTTATTGAGACAATTGCAGTGGTGTGAATTTGATTTCAAGGTGTGAATTTTTCTGCCCGTCACGGAGGTCGTGAAAACATCAGTGAACTGGGTACCAGCGGTCACATTTTTGGTAATAATACGACAAGGTGGGCTAATAGGCAACAACTTATGTGCTAAATAATCATGGTACACTATTATGGCCATAATTTTGTACTGAACAGAAATTCAACATGTCCGAGATGCCCGAACTGAGTTTGAGGCAGGTATAAATAATAATGTAAAAATCCTGCTAGGTGTGCAGCAGCATGGTTACTGTTATCCAACCCCAGTGCTATTCGAACATTGATATCTTGCAAATTGAACCGCAATAATTACATTAAATTTAGGTTTACCTACACAGTGGTGGCGCATTGCAAAACTAATCACGGTTGAGCTATCGTTCAGTTCAACACGGTAGTGGCTGTCTACTGTACCATTTCTACAGCTTGAAGGTGTCCAAGTACTTCGTTTGCGCTCCATTGCTCGTACATACTCTGCCGCGGCTGTTGCCGGGACTGGACTTTCGTACGGCATACTACTTGTATTATTTATACGGTCATTGTATGTATACTCTCCACATCACGGAAGTGGATGGTCGCCTGTCGGAATTGAATGCTCTCCTGTTCGTCACTCAGAGAGGTCCCAATTTGGAGTGGCCGGTTCGCCTCATCATGAAGATTGAGCATCATTCTGGAGATCATTGTCACCGAGATGCTGTCAGAGCGGCCTCGATGGATATTCCTTCTGTGAGGAAATAGGGCACATACGAGCAGGCAACCCAGGCCAAACTTCCAGCGGTAATAATCTGAAAATCCATAGGTGTGCGACGATGAGGGATGGGAGAGAACTGACATCGCCTGACTGAGAGGTTGAAGGGTCAGTGAAAAACATGCAAGGGAGGAGGACCGAACGCTACACACGTATAGCATGACAATGTTTGCCATATTCACCAGGCATATCATTCTATATTGAGTGGTAAGATCGAACAGTTAAAATGCCTGAGTACAGACCCGAAATATACCGCACCTGAAATTATTCAATGAGATGAACCGTGTGAACAAGACAACATCTTACCGTCACGGAACATTGTTCGCAGCAGCGAAGGCGACTCAAGACCGACAGTGTGGTGGTAGATGTAGGCACGGCGAAGGGTGAGGCCCAAAATGAGGATATCACACACGAGTCTGAAATCACGGTGATTGGGATTGGTTGTGGATGACAAAAAACTGAGTGGACGTACTGGCCCTCCCATGCCAATGCTACGCCTGTGAGAGAAGTCAATGCATGGTGTCGCGGCAGCCGTTGAAGAGACTTGCGAAAAGCCCTGGAAGGATATCAGGTCAATAACATCCAGACCTGAAATACTTGCATAACTGACTGGTCCTTGGATGTTGTGACATGGCAACCCGGGACAGAAGTCTCGAGAATGTTCTTGGGCCCGGTGACTGCCCACTTGAAGCAAAAGATCTTAGAAATGTAATTTCCAGCAGTGGGATGGAGCAGCGTACGACACCCAATCCCACAGTTGTCAATGCAGCGATTGCCAGCGAGATGAAGACCCTTCGATTGAAGCCATACATTGCACACACGCGGAGTGAAAGAGAGCCTTACACGACAGTCAGAGAGGAAAAATCTGACATACTATCTTGGCCGCACATCCAATGAAGAACTCTTGAACTACAAGCACATAGTTCTCGATCTTGGACAGGTTGGTGCAGCTGTGCGATGTTGAGATAAATATTTGAGCAGACGGTGCTACAAAAATGTTACCTCTGGATATCGTCAACGATGGACACGCGCAGACCGATGTAAAGTAATCAAGGCAAACATACCTCAGCGCTGAGGTCACCCAGGAAAAATGGGACCATAGTGAGGTTGCCGAGAAGGGTCACGTATCGAAAAAGTAAGAACCATGCCGAGCTGCGTTTAAATTTCGGACCCCAGATGTTTCTGACTTCCGAACTCAAAGTGAGGAGATGGTCATAAAGCAATATTACGAATCCTGCGAGGAAGAGGGAGCGCCGCAGGCGCCTATATGGCCGATTAAAATATGAAGCGGCGGGGAAAGTCGGTAAAGGCTCACTGGTCCTCGTGCAATGTAACGACGTCCAGTTCAACTGTGGCCATGGGAGGGGCGGAAGAGGAGGGACGCGGTCTCCAAGGCGATGTCTGATCTATCCTAAATGCCTTTCAGCGGTGTATTCAAGTTTGGACTCGGGGACCCACCGTTAATGATCCGTGAGTGAGATGCCCTGCCCAACTTTATGATAGACAACCCGAACACTTGAGGAAACAGTACGCTACACGAGGAAAAGGCATATTTTCGCACATCGTTAACTATCTTCGGAAGTTGAATGGCGCGAAGAGGGAAACTGAGTCCCCTGTTGGTGTTCTTCCTGAAATTCGGTGGATCCGGCGTCCGGGGGACGATAACAGTGATCGTCTCCTGACGCCACAGAAAACATGCTGGCACCAACCATCCACAAAGTCAGAGCTGCCCACTGCTACGGGTCTAACGGGTGCCGTCAACAGAAGGCCGTCCCGGTACCGTCGGAGAATTCCTCGATAAAATAGGGTACGGGCGGGGAATTGCAATCCATCCGGCCAAAGTGCATCTGTCGACGGCGTATTCAGATTTGTTGATAAACATTCGGCTGTCCCCGTTTAAGGACGGTGGCCACGGACGGCCGTCGCCTGGTATAGTCTGTATGTATGTGCCCTACACCAAAATTATCACCCACAGCCTCGTTGCTGTGATGACGGACCCACATAAGATGGATCGCAGTTAAAGCGTCTGTTGCGGGCCTGTGGCGTGTACGCAACCGAGTTGCTAGTAGGCTTGCTACCGTGAGATATCGCCGCCGGAGGTCATTCTCTGAGGCAGATCTAGTGACAGGCATTTTCTGGATCTTGAGGGAGTGTAGTGAAGGGCAAAAATGAAGGAGAGGTGAAGACAGAAAGTTAGGAGTGGCGAGGGAGCAAGCCGGAATTCATGCCCTGATTTGGGCTTAAATTGGGCAAAACTCATGTCCAAATTAGGGCATGACCGGCACCAGAGTGAGCGCGCCACACACACACACTACGAACTGACAAACATGATCAAAGGTTGACCGGAGGCCCTCGTTGATTTTTGGGGAAAGGGTTTACTTTTCCGGGCACGGCGTCTAATGTTAAGCGTGATTTTGAGTTCAACTTCCCTTACATGGGACGATGGGATCAATTCGGCCATGCCACTGCCTTCGGCGAGTATATTCTTGTAGCCGCCAGTGTCTACACGACCAATCCACGACCAAGTCCCTGTCCCCGCCCCGTGTCTGCGAAATGCCAGTGGAGCTCCCCGCCAGAAAACACGCCGTTATATTCCCCGCTACTCCGGTAACCCTACCGCTCACAAGACAAGAACATGAACAACGCGAGTCCTTGCAGTCGCTAGTCGAGAGTAGATGTAGAGCTCTCTTTCGGGATTATTTCCCGCCGTGGTGGTTATTCAAGTGAGCATTCCCACTCTTCCGACAGAAGCACTTGCTCATCACATTCCCAGCGGACATGCACTCACACTATACGCAAGTATGGGCAAGTTCTCGAAGATCGACCAGATGTGGTACAAGAGGTAGAGTTCCTTGCTGACCTGTTTCACCTGACTCAAACGGCTTCAGAGAAATATTAAGACTTACGGACGGCGGAACACTGTACGTCGTGTGATCGGATGGCACTACTGGGCTGACCTCGTCCTCAAAGGGGTCTCGACTTCGCGCCAATCGACACCAGCCACCTCGACGACAACAGCCCGATAATAGTGGCGGTCCCTGGGCTTACCGGAGGCAAGCGACCGGATTCATTCATGTATTATTGTTCTGATGATCTCTTTGCTAGGCTCTCACGAAGCGTACATTCGGGCGATCCTATGTCCTGCGTCGACCAAGATCAAAAACGGGGGGTTGGGATACCGCGTTGTCGTCGTGAATTTGCGTGGATGTCAGCATTTTTCATCTGTTTCGTCATATCGT